TCAAACTGTTTTGAAAAAAATTGGAGCTGTCCACTCCCCGTAGTAGGAACTTGCCCACCATTAGCAATAGTAATAGCAGGATGTAAGCTACTTGAAGTAATATTAGATAATACATAGGGAGAATGACACATGTGGTTTGTGGCCCCAGAATCAACTATAAACTGAGTGTGAGAAAGAGCAGAATTAACATACACATTACCCGAAGCCTTAGCAAGATTTGCAGTGTTCGAGGTGGTAAAAGAAGCTTCTCCCTAACCATGGGTCTGAAGTAATTGCTGGACTTGAAGTGCAAGAGATTCCAAGCTGGGTCTGAAATTCTACCCCATTACTATGCACTGCAATCTGAGCATTCGGACCTCTGTCTTTGGTGGGACGAAGGTGTGGATAAAGAACCCAACAATGGTCTTTAGAGTGCTGCCCATCACGATTATAGTGATCGCAATGAAAGCGAACTGATTTCTTGGATTTTCCCTTGGCAAAACGCACACTGGACACCAAAGCACTAGACTCACCTTGCTGATTTTTTGGTGCGGCACTAGTGGTGATTGTAGCATTGTGGGCCAAGTTTTCCCCCATGGCCGTGAGTGGAGGTGGAGCCAAATTCATGACCCGCTTGCGGGTCTCCTCATTTTGTACAGTAGAGCACACCGAATTGAAGGAGGGAAGCACGGGACTTGATAAAATTTGTTTCCTGGTATCTTCAAACTCAGGCTTAAGACTTGCCAATAACTGAAAAATTTTGTCTTGCTCTTCTCTTTTGATATAATCAGCAATTGTTTGGGTGGCAGGTCGATATTGGCGGAGTTCATCCCATTGTTTTTTCATGTGACCCAGATGTTCAGTAAAGGATTGATTCGCACCTTGCTTGGAATAAGCCAAACCTTGCTGCAATTCAAAAATTCGAGAAGAATTATTAGCTTGGCCATACATCTCATCAAGAGATTCCCACAGAGCTTGAGCAGTATCAGAATAGGCAAAGATCTCATATATTTGAGATTCCATAGAATTGAAAAGCCATGTCATGACTTTGTGATCATTGGCTTGCCATTCCTCAAAAGAGGGATCAGACTCTTGAGGAATTTTTGTTCGATCAGTGATGTGACCCAATCGAGATCGTCCACCAAGGGCAATCATGACAGCTCGGGACCACGGCAGAAAGTTCCTCCCATTCAAGCAACAAGGACGTGAGTCGGCGACTGTGTGCCTCCCGCACAACGGTCTTTGATGACTCCGCAATAGCTTGCTCTTTATCACCCATGACTCAAAGCAAATAAAAAAAAAACAACAACCAACGGGAAATTGCAACAATCCATGTTGAAGCAGTGTGCAGCAATAACACGAGCAAGCCACCAGAAAATCAGTAGGATGTAACTCGCTCTGATACCATGTTGAATTTTAGACAATCACAAAAGAAATAACACACAAGAATTAACGAGGTTCAGCAATAAGCTTACGTCCTCGGACAAATCTCTCACGGTATTTCTCTCCTTTTTGTCGTGAGTTTTGCTTTGCCATTATTCTTTCTTTTTATACAGAATTAGGTTGCTACAACAAAGGTAACAAGCAACCTGAAATAGGAAAACAGTCCTAAATAAGTAGTAAGATAAAAAATACAATATTGACAATATCTCTTTTCCTAGAATAAGAGATCCAATCCCGCAACAATTACCTTTTAGCCCACTCGGAACATATCGTGTCGACAAACTCCTCCGCCGGCGCCGGAAGGGTCCGAGCACCGTGCGGCAAGAAGCATGGTCGTGAGTGGTATTTTGAGTGAAAACAAAAGGCAAAGACTGGAAATTGGAGGGCAAAGAAGATGAAAATGCTGGATGAGGTGCGACTGAAGTTAAAACCAGCCGTTTCTTCTTCTTCTTCTTCTTTCCCCAAAGCTTCAATCAGCAAATGCAACCTTCCTACAACTGTGGTGCCAGTTGTGGTGCCTTTCTTACTTTGGGTGATTGCTTCCCGCCAATTTGTTGGAAATTTTTGTGTTGGAAAATTTGATTCACCATCCATTGCCCCACTCAAAAAAGAAAAAAAAAGAAAGGAATTCGGGTCGCAAATGACATTTATTTTTTCGGGTTGGGTCGGGTCTCTACGATTCTCGACACGAACCGAGCTATTGACACCCCTAAAAATAATAACTAAAACCACTAGGAATTAAGATAGGTAAGATATGATTACGTGTTGCTTGACATGGTAGCTTTGACCCCTACAACGTCACACCCAACTTGTGTCATCTTTACTCATCTTAAGTTGCAATATTAGTTAGGGGTGAGCAAGATGGACCGCTCAAATCGGGACCGGACCGGATCGGACTGACCGGTTTGGTCCGGTTCTCGAGAATATCGGTCCGGTTCCCTGTTCCTAAAAGTGGAACCGGTTTCCGGGCGGTCCGGTTCCCGGTTCTAGGGTGGGAACCGGACCGGACCGGACCGATAAATATATATATATTTCTAATTTTTTCATATATATTTATTTACTTTTTAAATATATATATTTGAATAACAAAAGAAGCATTTGATAGTTCATTTTTATTCGGTTCCAATGGGACCAACCCAAAAATGCTTTCATATATTGGTCTCGAAAATGCTTCCCGGTTCCCTCTTGCCTTTACCAATAAGTAATTGGTCCCGTTGGAACCGGACCGGACTGATGGTCCGGTCCGATCCATGGTCCCAAGATTAGCCAGTCCGGTTCCCAGTCCTAGAAACTGGGAACCGATCCTCCCGATCCGGTTCCCGGTTCTTGGGTTGGACCGGACCGGACCGGGAACCGCTCACCCCTAATATTAATTACAAACCTGCTCCTCCAAAGGCCAAATCCTTTATGTTTAAACTTGTGTCTCCATTCTATAAACCCATCCTCAAATGGATAAAGAAAAATCCCGACCGTGACAAGCGCATTGCACAATTCTATAAACAAGAAACAAAACCAGCTTCTCCATTTGCTGGGATAAGGACATCATAAGTGTCATAACTTTCATATGACGCTTACTTGAGGGCCATAATTTTTTTTTGAGATAATATCACAAACTACCCCAAATTGGTACACCTGTGACAATTTTACCATGAACTATTTTTTTGATCACAAAAAATCCAAACTGGTACATCTGTGATAATTTTACCCAGAACTATTTTTTTGACCACCAAAAACCTCAAACTGGTTCACATGTGACAATTTTACTCCGAACTAATTTTTTGACCACTAAAAACCCCAAACCGGTACACCTGTGATAATTTTACCCCAAACTAATTTTTTGACTACTAAAAATCCCAAACTGGTACATTTGTGACAAATTTACCCTCCGTTAGTGTCCATTAAATTGGATTAATATCATGAAAAATTACAAATTTGTAAACATGTGACAAACAAAGGGGTAAAACCCAAAACCGGTACACCTGTCAATTACCACATGTCATTAAACTTAGCAATTTGACAATAAAATTTAACGAAAACTAATAGAGGGTAAATTTATCACAGGTGTACCAGTTTAGGGTTTTTTGTGGTGAAAAAATTAGTTCAGGGGTAAAATTATCGCAAGTGTACCAGTGTGGGATTTTTTATGGTCAAAAAAATAGTTCAGCGTAAAATTGTCATAGGTGTACCAGTTCGGATTTTTTGTGGTCAAAAAAATAGTTTTGGATAAATTTATCACAGGTGTACCAGTTTGAGGTTTTTCGTGGTATTAACTCAAATAATTAACCAAAGAATTTGTCACAAGTGTACCAGTTTGGGTTTTTTGTGGTCAAAAAAATAGTTTTTGATAAATTTGTCATATGTGTACCAGTTTGAAGTTTTTCGTGATATTAACTCAAATAATTAACCAAAGAATTTGTCACAGGTGTACCAGTTTGGGATTTTTCATTCTTTAATTTGTTATGTACGTGATATAAGAGATCGTTTTTAGAAAAATATTTTTTAAATAATTTATTTTTCGCGAAATAAACGAAACCTAAATTTGATTTCTAAATGTGACTTCACACGGATAATTAATTGCATCCATGTATCTATTTAGTTATTAATCTCTCGTATTTATTAGGAAGCCTTGGTTCGCATTTGTCCTCAACTCAGCCACGCTTGGATAGCAAATTTAGGCCCCATTATGAGCTCAGCCCGATTATTAGAATAATTTACATTTCAAGCCCCGTTTTATATGCGAAAAATGAATAATTTGAAAAATATTTTCTTACAAATGATCGCTTGTATCTCTTAAAACAATTAACCGATAAAAAAAAAGTTGTCATTACAAATAACAATATAAGTGTAAATATTTCCATGGACGATAAAAATATTTTTCCCTTTATCCATTTTTGTAAGCAATTCAAGCGAACTTTATTAGGAAAAAAATTTAATTTTCCACAAAACAAAACGAAGCTTTAATCGACCATTTATTTTCGAACGATGAGTTATGGTTTTTCCCAAGTTAAGTTTCGCGTTGATATATCGTCCTACCCAATAAAAAATGTTCAGATTGATCGCTTTTACACACTTCGTGGCGAAATGGGGACATGACCTTCGATGTCTGCTTTTTTAACTTTTTGACTTTTTGCAAACGTTGTGGAATTCACGTGTCTTGACTTTTATCCAACTCAAAATACTTGAAGATTTTCGAAATGTTCAAATTTTTTTTTGACATGTATAATCATACGTTAATCTTTAGAAATCTTAATATTCACTTCAAAAATCTGGGAGTAAAAAAATTTTAAAAAAAAGGTATTTAGGGATCAAGAGAAGCGAGAAGAACCATATGCCCAAGGCGTCCTTCCCCCTAATTGGATTATGATCCGACGCGAAAAAATAGGATAAAATTAATTTTTCTTTGTTCACAATTTAGACCGCCGACAAGAAATCAATAAAAAAAAAATCGAAAAGATTATTCCTTCCAAGGAAACTCTTGCGGATGTCGTCATCGTCAACGGCCCCTCGACCGTTCTCCATGTTCACAGGTGAATTCATTTGACCTTGTGCCACACGCACCACAACAACGTTGATCCAAAGTCGCGAGCTTTATCCTAAGGCACGCAATATCGGACGTGGCATTTCCATCGATGATCCTCTCCTCGCCCACCACCCATTCAAGCCCAAGCGTCGTTACCCCTGGCCCCGTCTGCATCGTCTCGCACGAGTTCCCATTTTCACCAAACCGACGCTTGTGGCTGTGGCGACACCAAAGAACCACCGAATCGCTCCCTACCCACGACGAGATTGGTCGTACCCACTTCTTGTTCCGGGCCAAGGCCTCGAAATTCATCGCCTCCGCCGGCCGTCGGAGCTGTTTCGGAGATGGTGGGTGGCGGTGGGAGTGTTTATTGGGGTGCTAGAGGGAGTGGGTTCAGAGGGGTCGTGGTGATTTTCGCCTGGGTCTCGATTCAGGAGAGGCATCTGAGGAGCTACGTGGAGCTGTATGCCTCTCTTGGGTGGAATTCCCTCGTTTGTCATGCCGGGTTCTTGAACGCGTGAGTTGATTTTTCTTCTGCTTCGAGTGGAATTTCTCAGTACCGTGCTTTCCTTCTTTTTCTTGTGTAGCAGCGTGGAGACGTATGTCGGTTGTGTGATTCTGACTTGAGCTGAGCTTGATGCTTGGTTTGTGCAATTGTGTGCACCTTGTGCTTCATTTTCGACGATTTTGATTTGTTAAGGTAGATGAGGGTTGTCAGTCGAGCAAGCTTGGGACATTAGGTTGATGATTTATTGTAGTCTCAACCTTTTTCTTTTATCTTAAGCTTGAAGATCGCTATTGTTTTTTGCTATGTATGAGGATGTAACACTTCGTGGCCTCATGTGTCGTGTCTGGAAACTTGATGTGAAATTTGGATGGAGCAAGTATTTGGATCAATTGAAACGGAACCAGATGTGGTGTTGTTCTTATGTTTTCTTAAGAGGTGCAAAACTGTCTTAAAGCACGTAAATGAGACAAAAATGGTTATTGGCTTTTGGAATTAGGCATCACGCGAAAAGAACAGAGTTTCGGTTGAAAGTAATCTGCTTTATAGGTTTCCATTAGCCTGTCTATCATCCATGTGATACTCGAGTTTCTTTTGACGGTTTCGGTTGAAGAGAGTATGACATGCGCACAAGTATCACATATTAATTATCTAGGTAGAATTGTTGAATGGGGTGAAGTTCTAGAAAAGGGATCCAGATTTTGAAAAGCTTAGTTTCAGGGGTAAAAGCTGTTAGTCAAGGAACCACTTTTGATGATAATATTATACTTTTATGCTGTTCAGTGTAGTCACTCTACTTTGAAATAGTTTCAATTTGTTTGATTGCGTTACTATTCCATTTGAGAAATGTTTGGGAGAGCTGACATGGTACTTCATGGAAATATGATATGTCACTACAGTTTTCTATTAGTTCTTTTGGCGGAGTGATCCAATTCAAACTATAAGTATTATAATCTAATTGAAAATTTTGAAAGTAGAGTGACCTAATTGTAAGTAATGCAAGAATTGAATGACCAGGGAAGTAATTTACCTCAAGATACGCTTACCACGGAAAGATGCAAAGAATGGACGATTATACTGTATTCCTTCAACATGATTAACTTTTGCATTGTATCATCACGGCCAAAGTGTTAGGTAATTGGTATATCGCATTGGCCACCGTTCTCATTCTACAGGGTACAGTAGCTATTTTTAAATTCTGAAAATGTGGGTGAGGATGGAGAAGGAAGTCTAATAACCTTGCAGATGTTGCTTTTTAGCTGCAGATTGTGGGGCACAAATGTAGTCGTGTGAAGGACCCTATTTGGCCATAGTATTGCTGCCCTAGTGCGTCTATAGGGAGTATATCTGCTGGCATTTGTAATCCGTGTCAATGCTGATGAAATTCATGCATACTTATCAGTTATCACACATATTTGAATGTAGCCGCATTACTCATACCCCCTGAAGAACGCAAATGGTGAACTATGTTATCATGAAAGCAACAAATCTCTAGCTTAATAACACACGGCAAAGTGCGAAGTTAGATATTTAGCCTTTTAATTTCTTGAAGTGAGTTGTAATTTCTACCAATTATTGATTCTCTAATTGCAAAAGCTCTGTTCAATGAAGTAGAGCCTCCTCATCTTATTTATCTGCTGTACAAAATTGGGATTCTTGTTTGTTGGAATTGCTGAAAAATATTCAGTTGAAAGAAAATGATGTGGAATTTTCTTCTGGGCTTTCATTTCGCATGTGGGAGAGTTTCCCTATTTCTGGGTTATACAAAGCTTAAATCATGAGAGTTTTTTACAGGTTTGCTTCTGAGAAGGCAATGTCAATGGCAATTTTTGTTCTCAATGAGCTTCTCAAGGTTAGTTTTCGTCATAGTGCAACAAATTGTGCTTGTTTTGTATACTGTACAAACTTTTGTGCTGATCCTATCTCGGTATTTTGTATCTGTTGTAATTTAATGTTATCTTATAGAATTTAGGGCTTGCTATGGTAGAATTCTCTTCCTTGTGTGTAGCACTATTTTGTTTATGTGAAGCTTCGCTCCGACTTTTTTCCCTTGTTGAAAAAAAATCTAAGACGACGGTAAAGTGATACTACTTAGTCTTTGTGGGATTGCAGGAGCTACAAATTAAGCCATGTCCTGTAGTCTTTGCAGCTTTTTCTGCGGGTTCAAAGGCCTGTATGAGCAAGGTTTTTCAGGTATGTCCAGCAGTTGTCTGTCTGGATCTAGTACTTATAAATTTAAAGTGTTCACTAATGTGTTCAGTTTTCATGTTTCAATAAGATAATCTAAATACATGCTGTTCTAGCAGATCATCGAGAGACCATGTGAGAGTCAGCTGAATTGGGTATGCATAAGCTCCCTTTATTCTGATTGAGGCTTTCAAATGTCGAATACATTTCCCCTTTTCATGTCTATCTCATTTGATATCTTGTCAATATTTTTTATGATGCATATGTAGTTCTGAAAGTTATTTTCTTTCTTGAAGGACAAATATGGATTGGTGAGAAACTGTGTTTCTGGGCACATATTTGATTCCGGTCCAGTAGATTTTACCAGTGATTTTGGTTCTCGGTTTACTCTGCCTTCTACCATCCTAAAAAGGCCTGTACCAGCAAAAGTCGCCTCTTTGATAGTCAAAGGTGTTTCCTCTGGTCTAGATGCTCTGTATCTTACCAGGTTTGGAGCCCAGCGTGCTGAGTATTGGCAAAACTTGCATTCTTCAGTTGTAAGTTGAATTGCTTAATGAGTTCTCTTTTGCTTTTCTTTATTATTTTCTGAAATAAATTTTCCTCATCGGTAGTGCATTGGAGCTCCATATCTCATTTTATGCTCAGAAGATGACAACCTTGCTCCTTATCAAACGATCTTCACCTTTGCCGAGGATTTACGAGGTTCTGGTGCAGATGTTAAGCTTGTGAAGCTACGTGGCTCCTCTCACAATGGTTTGTTACAGAACTGTCTTCTGTTATGTCACATTATCATTAATAGTTTTTTTTTTGGTAAGGACATTATCATTAATAGTTGCTCTTGTTTTATTCATGAAAAAAAGTTCATGCTCTATATTTGGTGGTAGGTTATACTTCCCGTATTTCTTTGTTTATTATGCTTGAGAAAATTCCTGCTCTTGCATTGGGAACTTGTCTTGCATGGTAGGAGGGTAAAATGGCTGGGCGATATCATGTAAACAAAGTGAATATAACAGAACTATATGGTGGGGACTTAGGAGTTTTCCTACCAAGCCCATGACCCGACTTGCACATATAAGAAGTGGGTAGAATTGATTAAACTGGTTTTGTAAGAAGGTTTAACTCATTTCTCTCATTGTTTTTTCCGCTGGTTTGGGACCCTCTCTTCTTATAGAAAGGCAAGCAAGGGAGGTGGAAAGAAGCCAGCCAACCCTAGGAGTGGCTGAAAACCTGAAAGAACAACATAACCTGCAGAAATATATTTTAAATACCTTTTCTCGTGCTTTGCTCGGTTACCGAATAACATTCAGCCATTTATCTGTCAAAGCTTTAAACAAAAGGTGCAGCCAGAGTGGATCTATAAGCTTGAAAACAGGAAGTGCATCTTTAAAGAGAGAAATAAGAAAGGTAGAGTTTTGAAAATTTAGATCTGATATAGGTTGAAAAGAGGGAGATGAGTAATTTTGGATGTCGGGTTTTGTGCATGGGTATTTTATTTGTTTTTTGTTTGTGGGGGGGTCAGGGGAGGGAGAGAGATGCAAATTTTTAAGTTCTCCTGGTGTAGACGGTTAAGGTGCTCCTGGATTAAACGCAACCATCAAGTTTATTCTTTGTAAGGTATTATGTATTCAATGGTAATGATTGGTCCTGGAGTACATAAGCATTTACTAGTGGATCAATCCTTGCTCAAGAGAGGAGAAATGTAGGTGACCTACTGCTTTGATGTGGGAAATTGCTTACCGTTGACTTTACTCAAAAAGGACAAGCTGGCAGGTGTCTGTAAAAGCAAAAACTTAATTAACAACTGAGAACCGGAATTTAGTGGGGTCGCATGAAGGGGCTTTAAAGCCCTCTCCACTAAGCCTCATTCCAAATTCCTGTCAAATCAAAATTCAGAAAAATTTGTGTAGACTTTAGACGTTAATGTTTTTATGCTTTTAATAATTTTAGGTGTTCATGGTATATATGTAAAACTTACACATTTAGCATTAAAATGAATATCGAAAAGTCAAAATCCAAAAGATAAAAGATAAACGAAACACCCGTATAGTATTCTTAGACCTTTCGTTTCCTTGCACTTCTGTGCTTGCAGAGCCAAAATCGAATCAAGAACCGAAATCTGAACCTTATAAAAATAGGACCAAAGTATCATTTGATTGGGTTGGCTCAATTTTCAGTTTGGCCAGGTTTCCTCCCCTCTTGCATTGTGCACATAATATCACCATAATGGCATATATATACCTTTTTTTCTATATCGAAGGTGCCTGATTTAACACCTTTCTGGCCACTGTGAAAAAATCGTCTCACTATTCTCCTGAATAAAAGAGAGAATGAGAATGCGTTTATCTGGAGAAAGTTTCTTCTTTGTATGAATTTTCTCAGGATTTTGTTTGCGTTTCTTAAATTCACTTCTCTATAGTCGTGTTGAGTAATTTGCTCATTTTATTGAAAATATTTTGAATGATGCTATTTTTTGGTTGGCCTGATTCTAATAATAAGACGGTTCTTTAGAAAGTTGCTCACCTAATGCGTCTTCAAGCACATTTTCTGCTTTCCCTACTAGCATAGAACTGAAAACTCCTTTGAAATCAAACTTGCATGTGCACCCTGCACTTGGTGCTATATTGACGATTGAGAGATGAAGTAAAAGAACTTGACGAAAAAATAAGTAACTCGCAGTATGGTATCTTGAGCACTTGTCTATTTGGATGTCTTTTTAGATCTAAAACATGAATTCCAGTCATAATGTTCCAACCTGGGCTCAATATCTAACAGTCTCATCTCATTCTTATTTATGTTTGTCTATATCTATTTCTTACATGTAAACACATCTATGCAAACCATAGATATATATAGACAATATGCCTACCATGTAGATAGATGCATAAATATGTACGTGCATGCATACATATGCATCATGCATATTGATACATCCCTTCCGTAGATAGCAAAATACATTCATTCACAATGCACCCTTGATGGTTGAACATTCATTCTTGCAATAAACACAGAGTACAAATCATGATGTTGATACAACCTACGTGGCCCTGAAGACCACCACATTCTTTTATCTGGCTCCTGCCAAGTGATCCGAGGAAGCCTACCATGTTTAAATGACAAGGGAGATTTTACTTTGCCTCTGGCTTATAGACCTTCTAAATTCTCATCTCTGGCTTTTCAGGTCATTATAAGCATTATCCAATCCAATATCGTGCCGCCATAGCCAGTTTGTTTGCAAAGGCGGCTTCCATATTTTCCCAACGATTCCAGCGACTCGAGGAAGAGAGAACTAGAATGGGGAGCAAGTACGACGAGATCTCGGAGTTGATATGTGACCTCCAAAATGCAGCTGTGAACTCCAACCAGAGCCTAAGAAGGGTTGCCACAGGACCCAGTGACCATTTCTTCCTGCCAAGTTCAGTGAACGACGGTTATGCAGCCTCTGGGTCCTCCGACAATGAGCGAAAAGAGTCCTCCAATCTTGCACAGAATGCCCCGGGGATCAGCGCGCACAGCATATTGGGCCAGATGCTGTTCGACATTTGCGTACCCAAGAACGTGGAGGGTTGGGACATTAAGTTTTCTGGTTCTTTGAATGGACAACCATATGCTTGTGCTCGGAAGCTGTCACCATCTCGTGATATCAAATCCATACGCAGGTCAAGATTGTAACGTAAGGTACAGTCAGGGGCCTCGGGAACATTTGCTGAAAATTTTGCATGACTTTGCTGGAAATTCTGTGAGAAAACTGGCGAGATCGTCCGCTACGGAAAGCTCGGCATGACATCTTGTGAAACCAAAGGTATTGTGGATATAAAGGCTGATGCTTGGTAATTCTCTGGCATGAAGTGTACAGAAAAGCATGACAGAATGGATCTTACATAGACAAGTCCAATCCATGTAAGAATGATCGTGTTCCTCATCGACTATATAAGATGCGTGTGACTGTGTGGTCCACTGAAGTGTGAAATAGCAGTATAGACGATTCTCGTTACTAGCGACGGGTACTACGGGATCACTGCTGATGGTTTGAAGGAGATTCGGCTGTACTAGTGTAAATAGAGATGTGTAGAGGCGTTGGATTCACATATAAATAACTGTTTTCTTGTGACCAAGAATGGCTATGATTTACAGTTTTTCGAGTTATCAAGTGTGTATCGGCTGTGTAGAGGTGTTGATTCACATGTAAATGACCACTTCTTGTGACCGAGTATGCGTATGAAATACAGTTTTTCGAGTCATCCGGTGTGTTCTGTGATTATCTCTTGAAGCTTTAGCGTGTACATATTGTGACGTGAATTCATATGTATGCTCTTTATAATTTTTTAAAATATGAATAATACTTTAAAATTTGGTGGAAAGTATTTTTCATTTTACTTAATTAAAAGAAAAAAACAGGTCCTTGAAGACCAATTTTATCTATTTGTTTATCATATGGTGCTTATGTACATAAACTCTAGTTTCTGGACCAAATCAAGATAGCTAAACTCTACATGGATTCTCCACCGGAGATCCCTGACCGAGGGGTTTCTACGTATTCTTAAGGATCGGCTCCTCGCGAACGTGATATGACTGTCGAATCTGACAAGAAAATCTCCCCTATTGATCGTAAATTTCCCGAGTTTTTGAGTGATTCGACATCCTCGTATATGAACTACGATGTATGTCCGTTATTATAACCAACCATGATCGAGGATCGTTTCTGTTGGTAGATCATAGAAGGGCCCGACTCTCTTGCTTGTAACATCAAAACTTGTGCTTCTTTTCAGTTCATTAGGAATGTTTCCTATTCTTTTCCTCATCTTTTTAGCCTCCCAAAGCTTTGTCTCAAGATTGTAAAGCCAGATTTTGCGCAGCATGTTCCCCATCTGTTGCTCCCAATAAATGGAAAAGTCTTATGCGGATGCCGGGGTCCATCGATGTACTAATAAGGCCGCATTCGATTGTCCGTGTGTTACTTTTAACAAGAAAAATGCTAGAGTGCCCCTAGAACACTTATGAAGTACCTACTAGACCAAATTCTATAATTTTAAGGATATCGACTTTTCTCATGTTATGTGTAGTCAATGATTTGAAAATTCAATTATAAATGAGATTATAGTGCCCTGTGCACATTTTTTAACTCTTACCATTTTTTAGAAGATTTTAGCCTTTGGTCAATTGAGGATCTAAGATTTAATTTTGATAAATTGAAGATTTTGGCCTTTGGTAAATATCATATAATGGACATTTTTCTGGATAAATGCAGGAACAGGACTGAATTTTGGCCTTTTGTCAATTGAGGATTTAAGGTTTTTGAAAAAACGCCAATTAGGTCTCCAGCTCCCTGTGGATGGAATTCAAGCGTCATAAATCTTACGTGGCAAAAGATTAAAAATATTCCATATTGGAGTCAAGTCGGATCTCCGATTCCTTCATTCCATCGATGGTGAGCTCAAGATCTAATTAACCCGTTTTTAAAACCCTAAGTTCTCAATTGACCAACTATCGAAATCTTAAATCCAATTTTTGCCCTTGTCCCAACACTAACCCTACAATACACATTATTCAAGATAAATGCATGAACAAGACTTATGCTTTGGTCAATTAAGGATTTAAGGTTTTGTTTTAGGTCATGTTTGATAACCGGCCAAATAGTGTCCGATTCTATTATTTTGTCCCCGATAACAAAAAAAGAATAGAAATCCGTTTGATAAATTTTTTGTTACTGGGCACAAATTTGTTTCCAGAATTAGTTTTGAAATAGAATCAAGAATAAAAAAAAAAGTTGATTCTTGATTTTGGGAACAAGAATAAGAAATAGAAAAGAAATTTTTTTGTTCTTCTTCTTTCCTGGCATGTGGCCGGCAACCGGCCACACCGACTTGGCATAGGTCAGGGCCGGCGAGGGCGTCGCGGCCCTCATCGACGAGAGCGAGGGCTGGACCCTCATGGCCTGGGTGAGGGCGGCCCTTGCCTAAGCTGCGAGCCGCCCTCGCCCAGGCCGCAAGTGGCAAGGGTTGCCCTCGCCAGATCTGGTGAGGGTTGGACCCTCGCGGCTTGGGCGAGGGTCGCCCTCGTCAAACCCTCTCCAGATCCGGCGAGGGCGGCGGCGAGGGTCTAGCCCTTGCTCTCGCCGACAAGGGTGGCCCTCGCCTATGGCCAGTGAGGGCCACGACGCTCTCGCCGGTGCCGGTGACGGCGACCTGGCCATGGGCCAATAAAGGAGAAGAAGAAAAAAAGGAAAAAAAAGAGAGAAAGAAATATTAAAATATTCAAAATATTATTAATAAAAAGAAATTTTGTGCAGTTACCAAACGCATTTCTGTTCTTTTTCTATTCCAAGGATAGAAATTTTGGGCAATTATCAAACGCCTTCAAATGCTTAGAAATTGGTTCCGGAAATGGAATAAAAAAAATCATTTTTGAATAGAAATTATTTCTGGAAATAGAATAGTTACCAAACGCACTCTTAATCATTTCAGGACTTCAGGCTTTAAAAAAGCGCCCATTAGGTTTCCAGCTTGCCCTAGATGGAATTCAGGCGTCAGTATGAAATCATACGTGGCAAATGACTAAAATATTCCACGTCGGACTCTGACCCCTAAATTCTACCAATACTGAACTTGAGACCTTATTGGCCCTTTTTTAAAACCTAAGTCCTCGATTGACCAATTATCAAAACCTTATGTCCTAATTTTACACTAACCCAACATTTATCCATTTTGCACTCATCGTCCTTAAATAGCCATAGAAAAGTTACACATTGGGTTAGCTATGAAATAAAGAGCTGGATAGAAACGCCTAACATTACATAGTTTACGAACTATTTGAACTTTATCCTCTCTCCTGTCTTCCAAGTTACATGGATTTTGCGGTTTTACAATGATAGGAATAATTTGCTATCAAATTCAATATCGATTGAGTTGTACTTTATTACACTGTGAGGTGGCAAATTCTAGACGTGTTACTAAATATGCTTCATTTGTGGGAAATACCTACACTTCTTGAGAATTCATGACGTGGCTTTGTTTATTGGCAGGTCTGTAATTTGCTATTCAATGTAATCGATTCCAGAGAGACAAGACGAAAACATGACCTCGAAAACGATGCAAATTTATCTTAACATAATCAAGCCTCCCATAAAAACAAACACGTCTCCCAAGCAGCACAACTTACACGACTTGGCCCATTTTCATTGAACAATATGTTGCCAGTGCGTTAAAATATTTTTATGATAGAATGAGACGTCATGAATAAATCAAGTTTTAAATATACCATGACACGAGTTTGAGTTTGATAGCCCTATTACTGCTCTTAAAATTTTGGCAAGTTATTTAGCATGCCTCCAATGGTGGTAAGTCAGGCCCATCCTGCTCGAAATGAGTATGCAATCTCTTTATAACAAAAGGATTTGGATAACAAAGATAGGTGTTTCTAGGGTCCCCCAGCAAAAAATCTGATCCCCGTTTTAGCCGTAATATTCTTGGATTGGTGTAATTTATCAATAATCACCCCAAGGTGGATCACACAGTTAGGTAGTAATTTAACTTTATAGGTCGTAATTTTACTTGCAGTACTCGTAACTTATTGCACTTATATGTGGTAGCTTGGCTATGGAGTTTGTTACATGAAGATACGGATACTAACCAATGGCATACTAATACAACTCAAATTGTTGTAAGTGATGGTACATATGCTCAGTGATTGTTCCGTGTGAATCCTTGTAAACGACAAGTTAGTACCTATTTTTCACATTTAGTATGTTAGAATATTCAAATAATAAATCATGCATTCATCTAATAACTTAAACTTTTAGAATAGTTTGTAGTAGCCCTATAAAATTTTTACATGGTATTGGAACAAAAGGTCCCGACTTCAAATTTAGATCTCTATTTCCTCCTGAGTTATAGCCTACACGTAAGTGGGAGTATTGGAATATTCAAATATTAAATTACGTCTTCATATAATAGCTTAAACTTTTATATGGTTCCATAAAATTTCATATAGTAAATTACTTTAAAGTCTCGTAAGGTTGAATACCCTTGTTTCTTAACTTGAGATAAAAGATTGTAATAAACCTGAAATTGTTGTAATTTATTTTCTAGCATCATACTGACACTTCGATGATGCTGGTAACATTCCTTTAAGGTCCTAAACGTAAGGGCCTTATCAGAATAATTATCCTAACAAGTCGTGATTTTCCTCTCACCTCATTTTTACCCTCATAGAAATTACACTTTTTTTTATTAATTTATTTTTTTCATTTTTTTGGTCTGATTATTTTTGTCATTGGCAACTCCAGAAATGAACTATTTTCAAATTTTGGCTCCAATCAAGCCTACCAAGTACGGATACTAGGGTAGGTCCCACTTCTAGGCGTGATGAGTAGTTGTTTGACGGCAATTACTAATATTTTTTTTTTGTTCAAAAGCGAAACCAAACGGTCCTCCCATCTTCCTCAGTTCTTCTTACATTCTTGCCCGTCACAGTCCCCGTCCGCAGATGCCTTTGACGCCCTTCGTGTTGTCGCGATCTTTCCACCAGGAGGAGTCTCTCTCATGGCGATTCGTCAGGACGAGAAGCCGCAACCTCTCCCACAACCTTCCAAGGTCTCTCTCTCTGTCTCTCTCTGCCTCTGGACGTCTGTGTTTCTATCTTGGTGTTTCTTTTTTTCTCGTACTGACATTCCTTGTCTAGGTTCAGCGAGGGACGTCGCTGAAGAGGAAGGAGAAGCTGCTCTCCAGAAGGCCATTGGGTCTTCAAGGAACTTCCTGTAAGCAGGTGAGAAACAGGGACACGCTCTGTTTCTTCAGTCCTCTTCAGTCACTCGCTTTCTTGGTGTTTTTCTTTCTTTCTATTTCTTGCTGACATTTTGCTTAGGTTCAGCAAGGAACGTCGCTGAAGAGGAAGGAGAAGCTGCACTGTGGAAAGCCATTGGGTCTTCAAGGAACCTCCAATAAGCAGGTGAGAAACATGGACACCCTCTGTTCCTTCAGTCCTTCACTCGCTCTCTCTCTCTATGTTAGTGCTCTGTCCCGTGCCTGCACTCCCGTTGAAGTTTCGATCTCTGGAATGTGATTTCAATGGCGTGCTTGAACGAGAAGTTAGGAGAAATGATATGGGTGAGAGTGAGTGAGTGAAGGAAGAAACAGAGGGCGTCCATGTTTGCAAGATCCAAATTTCAAGATGGATTTTTTGTCCAAACATAAACACGTAGATTTCAACTACTCTCTCGATCTCTCGACCTGTTCAACTGATTACTTCAAACTGTTAAGCTGTCAGAGAAGCCACGGTTCAAGTGTTACGTCTCAAGCTTAACTTTGAAATGAATTGCTCGACTAAATTTGCATCTTATTAAATTCTTTTTAACAACATTTCGTGTGCTTAAATGACTGACTTCTTGTTACACATTTCCTCATTGTTGTTGATCAGGTAATCTGTTGTGGTTTGGGTAAGCTGAAAAGGTTAGTTGAGTACATTGCAATGGCTGTGACGCCTATCTTAACTTGTTGCACATTTTAAGTTCTCTTGTGAAGAAGGGCAGAAAGAATCTGATTCTTTAATGATCAAATCTGAAAAATTTCCATGTCAGCCCAAAGAGAGAGAGAGCCACAGACGACCGATTCTGTACTGATTCTGCAAATGATGCTGTGGAGCGAGCAAAAAGAGTTCAGTCTACTCTATCGCCAGAGTATCCAGTCATGGTTAAGCATATGCTACCATCACATGTTACTGGTGGGTTTTGGCTGGTGAGTCTCATGCTTAAATCCAGCGCAGTTCAAGTGTCCTGAAAACAAGAGCTTGAAGCGTTTAATGACCCGAAAATTCTTGTTGACAGGGTCTTCCAAAGAAATTCTGCGACTCTCATTTGCCACAGCAAGATGTTACTATTACTCTAGAAGACGAAACTGGCAAAGGATATGAAACCAAGTACCTTGGGGCAAAGTCGGGCCTGAGTGGTGGCTGGAGAGGGTTTTCCATTGCTCATAATTTGCAGGAGGGCGATGCATTGGTTTTCCAATTAGTCAAGCCAACCCGTTTTAAGGTGATAATATGTAGACCATTCTCAATTATGAATAATGTTTGTTTCTACACAACTCCAGAATGCGTTCGGTTCCGTTTCTACCATTAATTCTTATTGCAAGGAGAGAAGGTTGCAAAAAGAATTTGACATTCCCTATGTTGATAGGAGGTCTTTAGATTTCATTTTTCTGTAGGTTTTCAAGAAAACGGGTTTCTATTTCAGGGTTCTGTTCTCTTAGATAAAGAAACAGCAGGAATGCTGGAACCGCAAGCCATTTTTGAAAGAAAGTTAGTGACCACATGCTTGGTTGGAACTACATTAAAGGAGGTGAAAAGAAGTAGGGTTTTCGATGGCTTAGACAGGCACTTAAGTTGGTTAAATTGGTTTCACTAGAAAGTGAAAGATTTGGAAAACTTCCGTGCTAAGGTGATATACAGATGCATCGTAACATCATTAGTCATTTCATTAAGAAAGACTACGAAAGTTCGAATACTTTCTTGAAAGGGCCACAGAAGTATTCTCCGAGATATTGATTTGTTCTGCTAGTGATGTATTTGGTATGTAAGACGCTTGCGAGCATCCCTCTGGGTCATGATTAGCATCAATTAGTTCATTAGTTGGTGCATGTAATCTGCTTGATGATCAAATTAGAACTTTGGTTTCAGGTTTACATTGTGGGACGAAGCAATTTCGATGACGTGGATGGGGCTCTTGGCCTCCTTAGTTTGGACCCCTGTTTAAAAACAGGGGATTCTGGTATGTTTCTGCTCCAAGATAATTTCTAGGCTGTCGCTTTCCGGTCTTTCTTTGTTCTTCACTTCCGACTGTGAATCAGAGAATGGCTGCAAGACCTGCGAAATATCGGATGATGATTATTGGAAGCCTCTCACAAAGGAAAATCCTCCAGAAAACTCTCAAAATGACGACTTAAGAGCCTGCAATGCACTTGCGTTGCCCGTCGCTGATCAGGTCGAGAGTGATCCTGGAGATCCTGTCTCTGAAGTCCTCGATGGAATCCGGTTCTCCAAAAAATTCATCGACTTTAAAGACGTGAGAAGCGTCGAGAACTTTGAGATAATAGCCAATGACCTAGTCATTGACTCCGAACTGTCCAACCACTTTAGACTCAAATACTATGAGCTTTGCCGGAGTCAAAAGTCGTATCTCCACGGTCGCCTCCTTGAAGGGTTGAACTACAAACTTGCCGCCGGCATAATCTCGGAGACAGTGAACGTAGCAGACGCGATCCGGGCTTCGAGGATCACGACGACAATGAAGGAATTTGATATCTGGCGCAAGACACTGAAGGCATTTCAAGACATGGGCATGGACGTGGGGTTTTTGAGAGCCCGGCTTGAGCGGCTCCTGGAACTTGCGATGAGGTCAAACAGGTACAGAGAGGCGGACAGTGAACGGTCTCAGGCCGAAGAGGAGAGGAGCAGGCTCGAGGCTAAGCTCGCGGAAGTAAGAGAAGCGATAAGCAAGCTCGATGATGAGATCGAGAGTTTGCGCAGAGGGAGTGATGACCTCGAGATGACATTCAAAGAAGTTGCTAGTGCTCCTTGGTGATTGTGAAATGCTCTTTTTCGGCTTTTGACATGCGTTCTTTTGGAGGAGATGAAGAGATCATCCTGATTATGAAGAGTTAGACAATTTACCAACATGTGTAGTTTTGTGAATCTCTAGTTGAAAAGGGAGTCTATTGCTAAAAGGAATGTGTATATCAGCCCGTTTTGATTTTTACTGATTCTCCTGACTGAATCCTTCAGACAAATTGATAGCAATGCACATTGATTTTGTGCAAATTTCTCGGTTGGAGCAAAGAGAGGTAGTTTTGCCGAAATTTAGTCAACGACGAGATACTTTTCGCTGAAATTCTTTATTTGGTTTTTATTAAGACGGATTTTGTGGCAATTCTGAATATGATATATCATTGGAGGATAAGGATATTGATAGATATACTTCAACGGAATTTAATCAACATTAAGGTACAAAACACTTTGCTGGAACATAATCGACGATGAAGTGAGATGATAGAGAGATATATCGCTGGAATTTAATCGACGACGAATATCTGAAAGCTACAACTAAGATATACGTCGAAATTTAATTGATAAAGAAATATTTGGAAACTACAGCTACGATACAAGAAATGAAAGATAATATATTTTGTTTGTTTGGGAGGCGGGTTTATAAAGAGTATGATGTGTTTATATAAAGCTTACAATCAACGGTTACAAACATATATTACAAATGAAGGTTTCAAATGGTTACTAAGAAAAAAAAATTACTTTCTAATAGTTATGAGAAGTTACATTATCCACGAGTAGTTTCCACGTGAACTCCTATTATCTAACAATACTTATTTACAACAATCTTAAAATAGTCGCAATAAAAATAATCACCCAGCGGTTATCCACATGTCGATTGCTCGATGTCAATATTGATGACTACGTCAATCAACTTCAAAGTTCCCATCAATAACTTCGAGTTCTTCACGTTGGGTGTCGTTGATAACTTCACTGGCAAGTTGTTGATTCTCTTTAAATTACCGATAATTCTGTTCATAAATGATAAAATTTGCTCTCATCGATTAAGTTTATCATATATTGATTATATTGATGATGGTCAAAAGTTGGTCATTTTTTTTTATGTAAACAAATGCCCCTTTTAAAAGAATTGAATAATTCGTTGATCGTTCGATTTTTTTAAATTCAATAATGAAGAGTCATTGTATGTAGGCATGGCCACGGGTTGGAACCGGCGGTTCCGGTTCGTGGCTATGTGTGAACCGGAACCGGAACCACCCCTATCGGTTCGATTTTTTTAAATTCAATAATGAAGAGTCATTGTATGTAGGCATGGCCACGATTCGGAATCGGCGGTTCCGGTTCGTGGCCATGTGTGAACCGGAACAGGAACCGCCCCTAGCGGTTCCGGTTCGTAATTTAAAAATTTTAAAAATAAATTATGAAATAAAAAAATGAATTATAAAATTATGAAATAATGAATTATTCAATATAAATTATAATCAAAATGTAAATCGTAGGGGTGATTGGTTCCCAGTTCGGACCGGTTCCCCTCGAAACCGGGAACCGAATTGGTAAGACCGGTCCCTTAATTTTAGAACTAGGAACCGGATCGGCATATCATAGAACCGGGAACCGGACCATTGGCCCGGTCCGGTTCTAGGCGGTCCAATGGAATCCTTTGCTCTTAACTAGCAAAGGATCGTAGCCACAAAAGGCATACAACTTCATATGCTCATGGCTTGGCTTGGCTTGGGTTTTATACACAATCCTTTTGATGGTCTCTTTATTCCCATTCGATGTGGGACTCTTGGCATTTGCATGAAGACAAGCCAAGAGTCTCACATTGAAGGTGTTCAAGGCAAGCCGAGAGTCCCACATCGAATGGGAATGAAGAGGTATTAGAATCATTGTATATAAAACTCAAGCCAAGCCTTGTAATTAGAGTTCAATACACCAAAGCCAAGCATTGTAATTAGATATCAATGCACTTACAATGCATGGCAATTAGAGTTCAAATTGTTTTATAAAAAAAAATTAAATAATGAATTTTTTTTTTAAATTTCATTATTATTATTTTTTTAAAATAATTTGGAACCGGAACCGGAACCAGCGGTTCCAGGCCGGTTCCAAAATTGTTGGAACCGGAACCGGGCCCGTAGGCTCGAACCGCGGGCCCGGTCAACGGGCCGGGCCCGGGTTTGACCGGGCCAAAACCGGCCCGTGGCCATGACTAATTGTATGCCCCCTTGTCATCGGCAAATTCAATGAAATCCATGTTTGTGTAGAGTCATCATGTGGCTCTCTATCTTTGTTCTTAAATAGTTGCTCATACTTAAACACTCCAGTTGCCAATTGGAATAAATTGACAAAATTTTGGCCTTCAAACATATCTGTAAGATTGAATTTCAATCCACAGATAGTGAAATTTGTGAATTCTTTCTTTGAGAGCGAAGTAAGGCATTTCTTTCTAGCCCTCTTCAATCCAGCAACAAACCGATCAATTGAATCGTTATCATATTGATAGAGTCCAGCAAAATCTGAAATCAATACCTCGGGTATCAATTTATAAAATTGAGAATAGAATTGTCTTTCCAATATAAATTGAATTAGGAGATAAATTCGTATAGTAAAGACAGTTTTTGATTAAGACAAATAGAACAAGCTAAGTCTCGAGAATTCATTTGTTCTGGCGTAGACACATTGGGCAATAAATCGACCAATTCAATGGTCAATCGGTCATCTTCGCCAGTATAAATAGCAAAATATCAGAAGATTTGAATCCCCTAGGATAGTGAACATTATCGACCCAGTTAGGATATAGCCTTCCAATAAACAGGCTTGATAATCCCTCTATCATCATCTATTTGTTGCATCACCATTTCAGCCACTTGGTCTGGATTTATGAGTGGATAGACTTGATCTTCCTACACCGTAGGATCATGATTCAAAGGTCAATCCTGAATGAGATTGTTGACATTAGGGTTAATTGGCACATTTGGCCTTTATGGTAAATTCTTGCATTTGGAGGTAAGATTACACCACAAGGCTTCGCATTATCCCCATTTGGAATTGGCCCAACTGGAGGTCCATTCCGTGAAATATTTTGATTTGACATATTATTATCGACATAATTAATCTATATTGGACTAATTTGGTCATTTCCATTAATCAAATTAATTTGCTTAGGATTTTCAAGCCTTTGTAAAATCGTCACTGATGAGGTGATCACTTGGCCTAAATTATTTATATCGTTCAAATGACTAAGAATTGGAGGAACATACTCGGAAGCCGCCATGCTCGATTGGATCAATATGAACTAATTGGATGCCCCGAGCCTTGAGATGACATTGTTGTTGAGATGACATCATTGATCGCATTAACAACCATTGGCTTGATTGCATCATAGAGATGTCTCATTTGGTGATTTGCCATCTCACTCTGCTATTCCTCGAATAATCTCTTCATGGCAACCATCAAAGTGGGTTTGGTGCTAACTCCCTTAATTGTTCTTCCGTAAGGTGTCGTGGGATGTTGGCATCCCCACCTTAGCTTGTCTCTATCACTGTAGGAGCGGAAGATGTCACGCCCCGAACCCTACGAGACCGCAACATCCCACTATGGTCGTTATAATACGATGTCCTAGGACTCGTCGCCGACCCTTTTATTTTTTATCTTTCTTTTTATTACGCATGCGGAAGCGATAACAACCAACACCCATATAACAACAATAAACATGGATAGGTAGGAAAACCACTAGCAGCAATCATAACAAAACATCACATTAGTTATTTACTTGATTAACCCCTGGGAACATTTTTACAAGCCCACTTCAAGCACTTCCACAAAAGCCTACAAAAAGATACCAGATTGGGGTCAATCTACTTCGCCATAAGTGGGTCAGTCAAAAAGTCAGCTTCCAAATAGGTTTCTCATGAGCTATCCATATAGACGGTCGGTAAGTCAAAGTAGGGTGAGTCAGGGCCGTGCTTCGACCGCTCAAAATCGACAAGTCCTTGGGAACAGGGTCGGGCTCGGGCTTAGGATCCTCTACTGACCCGTCAGGTGGGTCGATCTCCATAGGATCCCATATCTCGTACCCAGGACCCTCTTCCGGAAGGCCGTTGAACCCCCTGATAGGCCCAAATAGATTCTCACCATCCCTATAACAAACCAAGCCTGGAACCGGTGGGGAATCCAATGAGTCAGTCCCACATCCACCCAAACTATCGTCCGATGGCGCTCAAAAACGTACGGCTGGTCGGGGAACACGTGTGTGGCAATAACAGTCTCCATGTCCTGAGGTACCCTGAACCGTACCGGGTGCATCGACATGCTAAGGGCCTGAAAAATGTTTAACAATGACAAATGAGATAAAAATCTCAATAAGTTAACGGCCTAAGCCCCGCTTAGGAGGCCAACTAGCCTCGGGGTTCCTAATCAGGCAACCACACATCATATACTGATCAATTATATGTCGAATAACAATCACAAGTATCCTTACCTCGCTTTGGCACACGTGGCATGCATGACATCGATCAACAAACATCACAACCATGCATACAGCATAACACGTACTTGGAACACACAAAGAGATTTCTCATGCATCATGCATCTACACTCGCGCGTGTCTCGATTATAAGGTAAAACCACTTCGGCACTTCCCATACCATGCCTAGTAATATTCATCCCATAATCAAATACTATGAAATATGCGTGTTCCATTTATCACGACCCCTCTGGGCCACTACACATCAAGCGATACGAGCGAGATGGTAGTCTTTCGGTATGACCGGGCATCGTCCCGTCCCGTCGGGCACGACAACGTCAAACGATCTACAGGATGACGGCATTCCAATACGGTAACATCAAACGATCTACAATAAGATGGTATCTCGTAAGGAGCATCGAATCCTCCATCGGGCCGCGATTCGGCACCTGGAGTATCAGCTATCCAGATAATCTCCAGGCATCCGATAAAATCGAGCGCGATCTGCAGCAGACCTTGATAAATCAGGCATCGTCAAACGATCTATAGCAAGACAACTTCGACATGTGACCACACGAACACACAAGCATTCAGGCCAATTCTTATCTTTTCAATTAGCCAATGCAAACATGAATTGTGCTCGAATTAATGCCACATAACCATTTTCTCGTGATCACATATACAAACAGTCCC